TCAAAAGAAGAAGTAAAGATGGCTATAAAGCATCTTAAAAGATGTTCAACATCACTAATAATTAGGGAAATGCAAATTAAAACCACTTTAAGATTCATCTTACCTTAATCAGACTGCATAAGATCAAGAGAACAAATGATACCAAATGTTGGAGAGGATGTGTGGAAAGGGAAACACTCATCCACTGCTGGCGGGCCTGCTTACTTTTTCAACCCCTATGGAAAGCACTGTGGAGAACTCTTAAACAACTAAAAATTAACCTACCATTTGACCCAGTTATACCACTCCTTGGCATATACCCAAAGAACTCATCTATTGCAGATACATTTGTACATCCATGTTTGTTGCTGCTCTTTGCACAATAGGCAAGAGGTGGAAGCAACCTAAGTGTCCCACAATTGACGAGTGGATAATGAAAATGTGGTTCATTTATATGATGGAGTTTTACTCAACAGTAAAGAAAGATGAAATCATGAAATTTGCAGGTAAATGGATGGAACTAGAAACTGTTACACTAAGTGAAGTAATACAGACTCAGACAAAAATTTGACATATGTTCTCCCTCATATGTGGATCCTAGAACCAAACACTGATAAGTGAGTATGTATCCAGACATAACTACAGGAACCAGGATAATGGAAAGGAACCAGGGAGGTAAAGGAAAAGAAAGAATCTGAAAGAGAAGAACAGTAGGAAACAGGCCTTAATAAGGGAAATATGGATAAAAATTGGGTTAGTTTAAGGGAGTGGGAGGGAAGGGTATGCAAGGAACCTAGGGGGTAAAGGGAAAGAAGGAGCTCAAGAGAGGTAGGACCATAGGAGAACGGTATTATTAAGGGAGACAAGGGGGAAATGGGGGAACATTAAGTGGGAAAACCATGATGTAGGGGTGAGACAATGTGAGAGATAAATAACGCTTAGCTAGTTTTAAAAACCAGAGGGAACCATATTACTCCAACAACCTACTGACAAATTATACATAGACGATCAAGAAATGCATGTCTAGGTAAGGTTTATCTGAGAACAATTTGTCTTTGCTGAAGATTTATCTACATGACACAGAGTAATAGTGGAATTAAATTTCTTGGATGTTTAACAAACATACTTTGAGACCTATAAAAATTTGGTCAGAGGGACATAAAGGACACTTTTTGCTCCTTGCCCTCCTAGGTCGACTAGTTCCAGGGGACTTTGAGCATCTCTCAAAATGTCCTGTAATTGTGGTGGGTCACGTGTACTCTTGATCAAGGAGGCCGAGGAGACCCCACAAGACAGGCTTGAACCAGTGTCCAGTCTACAAAGAGGAGGGTCAACACAGAGGAATCATGTCCTCCATGCTTCCAAGCAGAGCCAGCCATGGTCGAGTAGGACCTTTGACTTATCTTCCCATAGGCAGAACTGGTAAAAGAAAGGAGCCAGGGGCTCCTCCCAAGCCCAGGTGACCCCTGAGGAACAAAGCCTCAAACAACCTTAAGAGTAAAAATAAATTGGTTTATCTGGGCCAACTGTATGGCCTTAAACACCCAAAGGAAAGTATAACCAAAGATTAAAGGGGCCAATATAATTTCATAAGAGTCCATATGCATAGCTAAAGGCTA